CTCCGCAGCATGTGGGATCTTCCCGGACCGGGGCACGAACCCATGTCCCCTGAATCGGCAGGCGGACTCTCATCCACTGCGCCACCAGGGAAGCCCCTGAATTTTTTTACATGGTAGAGTCAATAGGATTTGCTGAGCAGTAAGGTATGAAGAAAGGCGGGAGGAGGAGGGGAGGGTGGAGCACGTCATTTGTGGAGATGCGGAAGACAAGAGGAGATTTGGGGGGAAGGTTGGGAGTCTGGCTTTGGACTAGCTAAGTTTAGGATTTTATTAGACAGTGAATTGAATTTCTCCTATTGAATTGATCCTATTGAATCAAGAGTTGAGGATTTAGGTCTGGGCTGGAGATCTATATTTGAGAGTCGTTTGGGGAAAAAAATGGTATTTTAAACCGCAAGACTGGATGAGCCCACCATGGAGGTGAGTGTGGATGGAAGAGAGAAGGGGACCAAGGAACAAGCCCTGGGGTACTCCAACGTAGGGAGGGTGGGAAGGCAGGGAGCAACGTCAAGAGAGCCCGGGAAAAGGAGAAGCCTGAAAACCCAGGAGAATACGGTGGCCTGGAAGCTGTGAGAAGGAAAGGGTGTATCAGCAATGTTAATACTCCTGAGAGGTGGAGCCAGATGCGGTCTTAGCAGAGTGGTAGTTGTTTGGTGACCTTGAGAAGATCAAAACTAGTGTAGCCAAGAGGCTGATGAGAAGGAAATGAAGAAACGGAGAGAGGAGTCTTTAAGACAGAGTTTAAACAGCACTGAGGGGTTTTGCTCTCCACTGTGAGCCCTGGACCAAGAAGACACTTTTGGGGCAAAGAATTTTCCCTTCATTTTGTTTTCTCTATGGCAGGTAGCCCCACTTCCAGTCCCGGGTTACAGGTAGAATTTGTGATATGTGGGCAAAGAAGAACTTTTGTGGCTTCACAGGCCTTGTGTTCTACGTTAGAGAGGTCATTTTCTCACCATGTGTGGTGGCTGCAGCCATGGGGACCATTACTGAGAGAGAGCCAGGAATATATTCCTTTTAATTCCCAATGTGAAGGAACTATAAAATGAATTCTTGGGAAACAATTCATAACGGAGGATGCAGGGTATATATGGTGTGGTATGGGAGCCATCATGATGTCTGTAGGTCCTGAAACTGCTAATAAGATTTGGAGGTCAGCAGACACATAGTGTGATAGTTAAAATAATTTCAAACTGAGGATTTACTTTCATTAACAAATATTTATGTAGGGTTTAATATGTGTCAAACATTGTCCTAAGTGTTTTACAGATATTAACTTATTTAATTCCCATGGCAACCCTGTGAGATAGGTGCTACCGTCATCCCCCTACCAGATGAAGAAACTGAGTGGAGAGTTTAAGCAGTATGCCCAAGGTCACTTGTTATTAATGGTGGGAGCAAGACTGACCAGTTGGCCTTTGGAGTCCACATGATTATTACCACACTCTGTAGCTAGTTTTGCTTTATTTGGACCTTTTACTGGCCTCCTCTTTGTCCTGTCTTCTGCTTTCACCACCTCATTCTCCTTTTAGTGTCTTGACAAGAACATAGACAACAGTAAGAAAAAGAGTTAGTCACATTAATCCATTTTTCCACTCTTGAGCTAGAGCTATTGATGTTTTTGGTATTTATTGGTAGTGTCAGCAACTCTGCTGCTTTTCCTGCTTAACTTGCAAGCATAATCATTTGCTTGGCTATGTATCTTGAGAAACTACCTGCCTAATTAAAGAGAAAACTTTTTTTCCAGCATGTTCTATATTATATACAGCACGAGATGGCAAAAAAACTTCTGTCATCCTAGGTAGGACTTTTTGTGAGATGGTCATCATGGTCACCAGCTTCAGTGTCATATGTAACTTTGTCTGGAATGTATGGAAGGGCTTAAAATAAAAGAGCTGTGTGGTTTGGGCGGGTGTGGTGTTGGATAAGGGCAAAACCGGAAGAAACAGTGAAATTGCCGAGTAGGTTAAGAGAAGTCGGGGCATCAAGATGAAACAACACTGGGGAATTGGTTAACATCAGGAAGACAGTTTGGTGTGGAGGACCTGGGGAAGTTCCTCAGTGGTGAGACAGAGGGATCTCGTGTAAGACAAGAAGTCTGGGGACGGGGGAAATGAAACCGAAGAGCTAGGTGGTATGAGGTTTTTAGGCTTCCAGCTCCTGACTTCTTCAGATAACAGATTTGGGTTTTAGCCCCACCTCTGGGATTTTCTACAGGGGTGATCTGAAGCACATTAGCTCACCTTTTCTTGGTTAAGTTTCCTCATGAGGTTGAATAGGTAAACTTTAAATTCTTTCCAAGTTATGAAATTCAGTAACCCTACCATGACAGTAAGTAGCCAAAGCCGACACAGAGTTCGTGGATTGACTGTGTGTCAAAGCACAGAGTCCCCTTCCATGAGAGCATCTTTCATGGTGTTCCTTAGGAAGGAAGCCCCTTAGTTGCTCTATCTGGTACATGTAAGAATTTGGTTGCCTAATACAGGTGTCTCTCATATGATAGTATATGCATTAGAAAAATCAACAGGACTGGCAGGACCTACCATCACTGTAGTCATTGGTTCTGAGTATATGGAAATTAATAGCTTAATACTTATTTCATTAATGATTACCTGATTTAAATATCTTCATGATAAAATGCTAAACCTTTCTATTTACTCCTTGATATATATTTTGTAGGAAAGGTTAATTTAAGATTAAAGTTTCTTATATATGTAACTTCTTTTAAGTCTTAGAAAGTTAATCAATCAATATATATCAACTGTCTGTTAAATAGCCTCTAAGAGGAAAAGTGCTGCATGTATTCAGTGAGCTTAATCTCATTTCAGAGAAGGAAGAATGGATAATTAGGGGTGGTAGAGTTTGGGGAAGGCTTCTTAGGGAGCTTGGGGTGTGATCTGGAAGGATGGGTGGGATTTGTATTGGCAGGAGGGAAAGAATTCTATGTAGGAGAAACAGTATAATCAGAAGTGTGATGGCAGAGACATGTAAAGCTTGTGCAGTAACACAAGGAAGGCCCCGTGGACTCAGATGCATGTTGAGGTACAAGGGGAAATAACTCAGCTTTGAGCCAGAAAAGTTTAGTTGGCCATGCTCTTTGGAAGGAGAGGGGTAGACCAGATGACCTTCGTGTTTCTTTCTGGCTTTAGGATTTTGGTTGAACACAAAAAGCATACAGAGCCGGATGGGGAGCAGACTATTTCCTGGTTGAGGGAGGTGGTGGTAGTGATGATGATGGTGTGGATTTTAAATCTGTGTGTGACTGGAAAGGCATCTAGGCATTGTGTTCCCATTTCAGCAGCCCTGAGGCAGAATGCTGCTCACTTCTGGGTTATAATGTGTGATGGGCCTTTTACGTGAAAGAAGTTGCTTATTTTTTAATTTAATTAATTAATTAATTTATTGGCTGCGTTGGGTCTTCGTTGCTGCGCGCAGGCTTTCTCCAGTTGCGGCAAGCTGGGGCCACTTTTCGCTGCGGTGAGCAGGCCTCCCACTGCGGTGG